GCACTGCCCCGTTAGCCCACTGGCTGCCGGGCACCGGGCGGACCCCCGGCCACCCTCGGCAACGCCTGGCCACTGTCACTCCATGCTATTTAAAGGCGACCTTGATGCCAGCGGTCACCGGCAGCCGGCGGGACGGGCTCGGAGGAGTTCCCAGTGCCACCCTAGCCCGCGAAGATGAAGCCCCGTGACCACCCCGTGCTGGGACAGTGTGCGGGCTCCACGCACCCCGTGCCAGTCCAGTGGCCCCGGTGGCCGGTGCTGGGCCGCAGTGCCGGTGCCCTGGTATGCAGCGCCGCTGCCCATACATGGCGCAGGGCCCCGGGGCTCGGTGATGGGCTCTGGAGCGCAGCTCCGGAACCACGTGCAACTCGCCGGGCACAGGCCCGGTGCTGGGACCGTACCTTGCGCTGGGTCCCGGTGCGCGGTGCTGTGGCCCTGGTGCACAGCCAGAGACTCTGTGCCCGGCGCTGGGACCGTACACGAAGTAGGGACACGGTGCCCGGTGCCGTGGCCTGGTACTCAGCCCAGGGACCACGAGCAGGTCGATGGGCACATGCCCGTCTGGGGCTACAACCGTGCCCGGTGCAGGGACCCGCTGCCCGGCGCTGAGCACTGGGCTGGGCCAAGCCCACCCCCCCGCGGTGCCCCCCCGGTGCTCACCGGCGCTGCAGCCCCGTGCGCCGCAGGGGGCGCGGAGCGGCGGCGGGAGGCGCGCTCGGGGGAGAGGCTCCGCAGGGAACGGGAAGGGAGAGGGAAAGGGTGAGGAGGGGGGATTCCCCCGCCGCCCTCCGCGCGGGGAGTGGGGGGGAGTGCGGGGGGCGAGGCGGGAGCGCGGCAGCGGGAGCGCGGCCAGGGAGGAGTGGAGAGGAGCGGAACGAGCCGGCGGCATCCCCGGGTCCGGTGAGCCCCGTGGGCGGGGAGGGAAGGGCGGGCATGTGAGTGTGCCCTGCGGCGGGCTGTGTTCGAAGCCTGTGAAACGCGTGGGTGCGAGCGCGTGCGGGAGCATCATCCCCACGGCTGTGCGGAGCGTCACCCACAGGGTTCCGCGGGGCGCGCGTGTGCGAGTGTGTGCGGGAGCATCATCCACAGGGGCGTGCGGGAGCGTGCGTGTGCGGGAGCATCATCCACAGGGGTGGGGGCAGCGCGTTTATGCAACGCGCGGGGAGCTGCGTGTGCCGTGACACACGCGTGCGCGGCGGCAGCACACGCGCAAGCGGGACGCGGCGGTGCGCGGTCCCCCGCCCGCGGCCGGGCGCGGCTGAGCGGCGGGGCTCTCCCTCCCTCCCTGCGGCAGGTGCGGGATGCGGCGGAGCGCGGCGGCGTGCTGGGCGCTGGTGCTGCTGGCCGCCACCTTCTGCGACACGGTGGCCGGCAAGGGTGGGCGCGGCGGCGCCCGCGGGGCGGCCCGCCCGGCTGTCCGGAGAGCTGCAAGCGGGAGACGGCGTCGAGTACCGCGACGGCAACTGGACGGCGGCCGCCAGCGCCTGGACCTCCGCCGCGCCGGCGGGGACCCCGCCGAGCCGGGCGCTGCCCTGGCTCTGCCCGCTGGCCGCTCTCCTCCGCCGCTGATGGATTTCGGGGGACCTGACTGTGCCCGGTGCACCCACGACGCCGTGAGGACCGGCCGCCCCCCACGGGGCTGAGCCCCATGCCCCGGGCGAGCAGCGGCTCCCGGGGCTATGGCCACCCACCGCCGGCGGGGCAGGACCCCCGCGGAAGACCCTCCATCACCACCCCTCCACACCGAGCCGAACCCCGCCGGCTCGGGCACCCCTGTGCACCGCGCCCCTGTCCGTGGCCTCGCCGTGTCCGGAGGCCGAGGAGGCGGCAATAAAATTGGGCGAAAGAAGGTGTGGCTGGATGCGGGGCGAGGGGCGGGACCCTGGGATGGCCAGCGCCCGGCCCCTGCCCACACAGGCTTTATTTCGGGATGGAAGCTCCACAGCAGGCCAAACCCAGCGAGGAAACAGCTCCCTGGCGAGGAAGCAGCTCCCTGGCGGCTTCCAGGTGCCAGCCGGAGGCACCAGCCCTGCGCCAGGCTCTCCGGGGCGGGCACAGCTCTCCATTGGAGCATCGCAACAGCGACACCACAGGGCATCGGTCCCTCTGGCCTCTTCCTCAAATCCGGGGACAGCTCTGGCAGAGCCGCTTCAATCACACGCCATAGCTCCCTGCTTAGGTGTCCCCAGCTCCAAGGGGCACCAGGGTGTCCCCAGTCCCCACGGCTGCCGGCAGTGCCTGTCCAGTGACAGGTCTCAGTCCAGTGTCACCCTGCCCAGGCGTCCTGCTCGGAAGTCCCGCAGGAACTCGTAGGCAGCAGCTGGGTAGTTGAGCATCGTCATGTTGACATTCCCTGGAGGTGGCAGTGGATAGAGGAGTGTCAGCGCAGCTGACCTGGAGCTGCCCTGGGATCCCCAAAACTCCCAGCCCTGCACCCCGGATCACCCACCTGTGCCTGTGAGCACCTTCACCTTCTGCGTGCGGCCCTGGCTGAGGGCCACGTGCTTGAGCAGGGGCTCGATGTGGTCGCAGGGCTGGCCCAGCCCGTAGCGCTGCACGTACCTGCCAGAGGACATGGCTCACACCCCCCACAACCCCCTGGGCGTGGCATCTCCATCACCCTCTTGGGACCCCTCCCCGCTTCCCTCACCTGAACTGCTGCTGCTTGTTCAGGGTGTACAGGAGGTAGTCGGCCATGATGTCCTCCCCCACCAGGTGGTCATGGATGGCTCCTGGAAAAGAGGGTCAAGCCCCAGCTTCCCTAAGCCCTGCTGAGCCCTGGCCAACCCTCCTTCCAGCCCCTCACACGCAGGGGCTGTGAGCAGCAGCGCGACCCCAGCCTCTGGCTCACCACACAGTGCCAGCTTCATGCCCGTCTCCACATCCCCCAGCCGGGGGGGCAGCACGCCAGGGGTGTCCACCAGGTACATCAGGGGCTTCTCACACACCTGGCACGGGGGAGGCAGGGCTGCTAATTAGCACCACGCGGCTAACGAGTGAGGCACTGAGCTCGAGTTAAGCTCTTGCTGCAAAGGGGACCTGAGGAAGCCTCCAAGACCAGCTGGGTGAGCCTGGAGGTTTCCCGGATGCAGGGACGGTACCTGGATCCTGGACAGCACTGCCTTGGTGATTCCTGGCTCGCCCCCCACCGCAGTGGCATTGCCTGGGGGCACAGACACGGTCAGGGACACGGGTGACACTGTGCCCCCTGCTCCCTGAGCCCTGGCACTGTGCAGAAATACCCTTCTTGAGGTGCAGCCTCCGCAGGGAGTTGATGAGCGAGGACTTGCCCACGTTGGGCACGCCGATCACCAGGATGTTGTGCTCGGAGCTCTGGAAGCCAGGGAGACACGGGCAAGGAGTTACCAACCACCCCTGTGCAGCCACAGGCAGCTGGCACAGGGAAATATCCCAGTGTTTGCCCTGCCAGGCACTTCTGGCACATGTGGGAGCAGCCTTGTCCCTTGGCTGGAGAGGGGGGTCACCCTCCCTCTGCTCTGCTCTGGGGCATCCTCAGCTCCTGCACTGGGGGCAGTTTTGGGACACCACAACATAAAAGAGATGTAAAGCTGTCAGGGAGTGTCCTAAGGAGGGACACAAGGACAGGGAAGGGTCTGGAGAGCTACACAAGGGCTCACTGGGTTTGTTCAGCTGGAGCAGAGCACACTCAGGTCAGACCTCACCAGGGGCTGCAGCTCCTCCCCAGAGGAGCCCCAAGCTCTGCTCTGTGACAGGGACAGGACCAGGGAATGGCTGGAGCTGGGTCAGGGCAAGGTCAGGCTGGAGATCAGGGAAAGGTGCTTCCCCCAGAGGGTGCTGGGCACTGCCCAGGCTTCCCAGGGAATGGGCATGGCCCTGAGGCTGCCAGAGCTCCAGGAGCATTTGGACACTGCTCCAGGGACACCCAGGGTGGGGTTGTTTGGGTGTCTGTGTGGGGCCAGGAGCTGGACTGGATGCTCTTCGCGGGTCCCTTCCAACCCAGGATATTCTGTGACCCCTGTGCATGTGCCTCACCTCGGCCCTGTGGTAGCGTGGGCCATCGGCCACCAGCCTGGCAACCATGGGGACAACCTGCAGAGGGACAGGGCTGTCACTCTGTGCCTCGGCTGGCAGCAGCCATTCGCTTGGTGACACTGCACCAGCGGGATGTGCACAACGGGGGCTGAGCAGAGGACTTGGGACAGCCCTCTGTCCCAAGGAAAGGGAAGGGGGAAAGGGACCAGCCAGCTGGAGCACTGAGGGCTCTCCAAGGGGCTGGGAGCTCACCAGGGAGCAGGGCTGGGCTGCTGCCCCACTACCTTCTTGACATTGACATCACGCTGGCAGTCAGTGAAGACGACGTGCGAGCATCCCTGCTGCCTCAGCTGCTCCAAAACCGCCTGCAGGGGACGGGAAGAGGCACTGCTGTCACCTGCCCGTGACACCGCCGCTGCCCCCGCCCGGCCCTGCCCCGGCGCTCACCGGCTGCCGGCGGGGATCAGCCAGATCCATCTTGTTCAGCACCAGGACGTGAGGGCGGATGCCCAGCGCCTCCTGCAGCGCGGGGTTACGGCCCGACAGCGGAATGTGGCTGCGCTAAGGACAGTGACTGGAAGAGCGTAGCGGGAGGGGGATGGAGAGGAGGTGAAGAGGGGCAAGGGTGGTCTGGAGGGACAAGGGACAGGGTTCTCCGGCAGCTGTGGAGGATATTCGAGCGTCGTGCACCTCCACGAGGCAGTCGGCGCGGCGCAGCGCCAGGCGCATCTGCCGCAGGCCTGCAGCACACAGCACAGCGCGGGGTGAGCGCTCGGTGGGCACGGTGGGGAACTCGACCCGCCGCGCTGCCGCCCCTCACCTTTCGCCATGTGCCGCGGGAACCACGAGGCCACATCGCGGCCGCCGAACTCGAAGCGCTCCCGGAACGCTCCCGGGCCCGTCCCCGCCGCCCTCAGCGCTGCCCACACCCGCATGGCTCCGGCGCGTCACTTCCGGCGCGACCGGAAACCGCCTCAGTGACAGCGATGGCGGAGCCGCCGCCGCCACCGGGGCCTCAGGGGGGCTCGGCCGCACCTCCCGGCGGCACGGGGCGTGCCGGGGCTCACGGCGTGTCCTCCGCGGGCCCCGGCACGCCCCGTGCCGCGGTCAGGCTGGAGATCAGGGAAAGGTGCTTCCCCCAGAGGGTGCTGGGCACCGCCCAGGCTTCCCAGGGAATGGGCATGGCCCTGAGGCTGCCAGAGCTCCAGGAGCATTTGGACACTGCTCCAGGGACACCCAGGGTGGGGTTGTTTGGGTGTCTGTGTGGGGCCAGGAGCTGGACTGGATGCTCTTTGCGGGTCCCTTCCAACCCAGGATATTCTGTGACCCCTGTGCATGTGCCTCACCTCGGCCCTATGGTAGCGTGGGCCATCGGCCACCAGCTTGGCAACCATGGGGACAACCTGCAGAGGGACAGGGCTGTCACTCTGTGCCTCGGCTGGCAGCAGCCATTCGCTTGGTGACACTGCACCAGCGGGATGTGCACAACGGGGGCTGAGCAGAGGACTTGGGACAGCCCTCTGTCCCAAGGAAAGGGAAAGGGGAAAGGGACCAGCCAGCTGGAGCACTGAGGGCTCTCCAAGGGGCTGGGAGCTCACCAGGGAGCAGGGCTGGGCTGCTGCCCCACTACCTTCTTGACATTGACATCACGCTGGCAGTCAGTGAAGACGACGTGCGAGCATCCCTGCTGCCTCAGCTGCTCCAAAACCGCCTGCAGGGGACGGGAAGAGGCACTGCTGTCACCTGCCCGTGACACCGCCGCTGCCCCCGCCCGGCCCTGCCCCGGCGCTCACCGGCTGCCGGCGGGGATCAGCCAGATCCATCTTGTTCAGCACCAGGACGTGAGGGCGGATGCCCAGCGCCTCCTGCAGCGCGGGGTTACGGCCCGACAGCGGAATGTGGCTGCGCTAAGGACAGTGACTGGAAGAGCGTAGCGGGAGGGGGATGGAGAGGAGGTGAAGAGGGGCAAGGGTGGTCTGGAGGGACAAGGGACAGGGTTCTCCGGCAGCTGTGGAGGATATTCGAGCGTCGTGCACCTCCACGAGGCAGTCGGCGCGGCGCAGCGCCAGGCGCATCTGCCGCAGGCCTGCAGCACACAGCACAGCGCGGGGTGAGCGCTCGGTGGGCACGGTGGGGAACTCGACCCGCCGCGCTGCCGCCCCTCACCTTTCGCCATGTGCCGCGGGAACCACGAGGCCACATCGCGGCCGCCGAACTCGAAGCGCTCCCGGAACGCTCCCGGGCCCGTCCCCGCCGCCCTCAGCGCTGCCCACACCCGCATGGCTCCGGCGCGTCACTTCCGGCGCGACCGGAAACCGCCTCAGTGACAGCGATGGCGGAGCCGCCGCCGCCACCGGGGCCTCAGGGGGGCTCGGCCGCACCTCCCGGCGGCACGGGGCGTGCCGGGGCTCACGGCGTGTCCTCCGCGGGCCCCGGCACGCCCCGTGCCGCCGTCTCTGAGCCTCAACCCCCTCGCCCACCCGGCCCGGAGGCTCCCCCGCGGCCAGGCCCGACGCAGGACCCGCTGGACGACCCCCGCTACACCATCTCCAGCACCAACTGGTATTAAACCAACAGCGCAGCCCCCGCTCCAGGGAGCCTCCCCCGCCGCACCCACCCCGCCACGGAGAGGAAGAAGCCGCCGGCGCGGAGGTTTCTCAATAAAGGAGACCGAAGCGCAAAGCACCGCGGTTTATTTTGCTGCCTCAGGACTGAGGCGCGGGGACGGGCGCCTGGAAGAGCTGGTTGAGCCGCTCGGCCTCTCGCCACCCCGAGAGCAGCGCCCCGTGGGTGGTGGAGTAGAAGGTGCGGTGCGTGGCCTCGCCGGCGAAGAGGAGCTGCAGGGGCTGCGGAGAGGCGGGGGGTGAGCACAGAGGCCGCGGGGCTGGGCTGGAACAGCCTCACTCCGCGGGGGCACGACCGCTTTAAAAACCCAGACCGGGCACTTTCCCTTCCTCTGGCACCCGGCCCGCGCCGTGAGGAGGCTGGGAAGGAGGTGGGGAGGAGCCGCCTGTCCACGACTTTTGCGGGAATGCCCCCACCCCGGTGGAGCTCAGCGCTGGTGCACCCGCAGAGGGTGAGCAGCGCCACCTCCCTGTGCTCCCGCAGTGCCTGTCCCCACCGCCGCCCGTCTGTCCCCGCTGCACCCCCTGGGCTGAACCCTCACCCGGGGGTCGCGGGGGTCCTCGGGCAGGGGCTGTGCGAGCACATCGATGTCGTCCCCCGAGCTGCCGACGGCCACGTAGCTGTAGGAGCCGCGGGTGTAGGGAGCGCTGTGCCAGCGGGACCGGAGCACGCTCCTGGGCGCGGGCAGGTCGGGATTCCCTGCGGATGGGGCTCAGGGCTAGGACCGGGAGATGCCCCGGGGCAGCGGGAGGGCGGGGCGGGCACCTGTCACCGTGCGCAGGACGCGGGTCATGGCGCTCAGCACCTCGGCGTCGCTCAGCGTCTCCATGTGCTCCGACTCCTTCCCCGCGATGAAGCCGCACAGGACGTGCCCGTGCCTGGGGCGGGAAGGCGGGGCTGAGAGCTCTGCCCCTCCCCGTGCCCACCAGAGGCCCGCATGCCCAAAATCCCCGGCCACCTACTGCTCTGGCGGCTGCAGCACCACGAATCCGATGAGCTTCTTGAACCAGTTGGCCTCCAGGTCAGCGTCGGGCTCCTCCAGCGGCGACTCGTCCTCCCACACCACTTCCAGGAGCTGGTGCTCAGGCTCCCAGAAAGGCTGCTCGAACTCCAGGAAGATCTTGTTGTTGGTGCCAAAGCCCAGGTTGCGAACGGCCTGCGCTTTCCGCTCGGGAAGGGGGGGCTGGAAGAATTCCTGGTGGTGCTCCTTGAGGAAACCTGCAGCCACAAGTTTGGGCAGGCAACGGGGCGGCTCTCAGCTGGGCTCCTAAATGGTGTCTGAGATGCTCTGACCTCCCCAAACCCCTTTCCAACCTCTTCCCAGTGGGAGAGGGGAGGCTGGGAAGGGGTTTAGGCAATCCCTGCCCTCCACTTGCCCATCTCCAACCGTGCCAGCTGGTCGGAGGGCAAGGGCAGGGCAAGGGAAGGTGTTGGTGTCCTCACCCAGCGGCACAGTGATGATGACGTGGTCAGCAAGGAAGACATCTCCATCCTCGCACTCCACCCGGACGGGGAATACCCTGCCATCGTCCCCTTCCTCACGGAAGGACCCTTGCCAGTGGATGGTTCTCACCGCCTTGTTGAACAGGACGGTGCCCTCGGGCAGATCCGAGAGCAGGCGCTCGGCCAAGCTGCTGTAGCCTCTGTGGGAGGAGTCACCGCTGGGGACGGGCGGCCCCCGGAACGCTCCGCCGTGTGCCGCTCCGGAGCCCCGCGCTTACCCTGGGAAGGTGCAGTCCAGGCCGGGCAGCGACACGTACTCCCCGAAGGGCTCCAGGCCCACCAGGTCCATGCTGTGGGTCCCGCTGATGCAGCACTCCAGCTTGAGGCAGGCGGCGAGCACGGCCAGCTGCAGCCGCCGGGCATCCTCCTGGCCGCCCGCCATCGTGGGGACCGTCCGGGCGATCTCTGCCCGCACGTACTGGCCCACGCTGGGCCACGGAGGCTCCTTGGATCCCTGGAAAGCGCGGGTGGAGGCCAGGAGGGCGTAGAAGAGGTCGCGGGCTTCGCGCACTGCCTTGGGATTCAGCACCTTCCCCGAGCTGCCGTAGGTGACGGACGGCATCGGGGGGTGGCCCCCCGCCTCCACCTGCTGGTTCTCCTCCCGGGCGGCCTCCGGGCCCAGCAGGCCGTAGCGGGAGGCCAGGCAGAACACGGGATTTCCCGGCGAGGGGCCGTGGATCCAGTGTGCCCCCATCTCCGCCAGCCCCGACGCTGCCGGGAGGGAGAGCGGGTCACGCCGGGCCGTGCCCGTGGAGGAGCCCTCGGGGCGCAGCGGGCCCCCCGGCGCTCCGTGCCCCCGGAACGGCCGGAGCCGGCGGGCCCCGCCGCGCCCCCGCTGCCCCCCGTGACCGGCTTCCGTTCGATCCCCGCGTGCTCACGGGACCGGCCACCCCCGCCACGTGTCCAGCCCACTCCGGACCGGCCCCACGGGCCGGGGGTCAGGTGTAGCAGCTCCCGCATCCCGGCACCGCCGCCCCCCGCCCCAGCCCGGGCCCGCCCCCCGGTGCCGCCCACCCCCCGCCCACCGCCACCACCCGGGGCCCGCTGCCCTCCATGGCCGCCCGCGCCGGCCGGTACCGCCCTCCGCCGCCGCCGGCACCGCCCGCCGCCAACGGCACCGCCCCTGGAGCGGCCCGAGCTCGGCCGGGAGGGAAGGAGGAAGGAAGGGATGGAGGGAAGGATGGGGGAGTGGATGGAGGGAGGCATGGGTGGATGCCCGTGGGTCCCGGTGCGGTGATGAACCAGCCGCCTGCACCCATGGAGGGCAGGGGGAGGCCGGGATGGGAGAGGGGATCCCTCTGGAGTAGGGGCAGCCCTGGGACCACCTTCCCACCCTCCTCCTCTCCCCATTCTGCTCCCGCTCATGCACCTTAGACGGGGGCCGGCCAGCCTGGCAAGGTGGAGGAGCAGTGGGTGCCCATCGCCCCCCGGTCCCGCCGCACACATCCCAGCAGAGCTGCCCCAAGGGCCAGTGCCAGCCCTCACCAGCCCTGATTCCCAAACCCCCGTGGATACAATAAAACTCTCCACTCCCAAGGCTGTCTGGTGGGGTTTTTTTTTGCCAGCAAGAGTTCCTGCCCCCTGCCCAGTGGTGGGGTAGGGTAGTGGATGTACTGGGATACTCCCGGCTGGGACCCTCGGAGAACCCACGGTGCCACCCCGCTCTACCAGCTGGCCCTGTGTCACTGTTGGTCCTGCCAGCTCCCCATAAAATATTCCCATGCAAGGAAGAGCTGGGGGTGTCAAAGCACAGGCTCCTGAAACCCCTGTTGAGTATTTATTTCGGAGGGATTTTCCCCACCTCCGGGTTTGCAGCAAGCAGCAGGGTGGGATGGGCTGGGGACATCAGCCTGGCAGCAGATTCCTGGGGGGATGGTGACCCTGCAACCCAGCCCAGGGCATTTGGGGTCACCAGCTCCCAGGGATGAGGGATGATCATTCCCAGTGTCTTGGTGCTGAGCCAAGCAGCCATTCCTGGGGACCCCTGGCCCCTGAGCTCCTGCCCAGATAATGCAGGCAGCTGCCTGCCTTGGCCCAGATGGCGACCTTCCACTTCTTGGGGATTTGTCTTGGGGAAAAAGGATTCTCCAAATCCAACTTGAACCCCCTGTGCTGCAATCTGGGGCCAGAACCCCTCACTGCATCTCCTGTGGCTGCTGCCAAGAAGGGTTTGGCCTCATGTATCCCCCATGGCATTCCTCTGTGTGCCACAGAGGAGACGGCTGGGGGCTGCTCTCAGCCTGTCCCCCCACAGCCAGACTCAACAGACCCAGCTGCCCCCCACCTCCTCACAGCTGGCTGCTCTAATCCACAACCCACTGAGCAGCCACTCTGGGGTCCTGGCAGTGTCCCCGTATGTCCCTGGGTCAGCACCATCGTGCTGGGGCTCTTCCAGCAGGGCTGGTGGCTCCTGCCTGCTCCAGTGCCTCGGCTGACCCCGGTGCTGCCCTCCCAGCACGGTGCCAGCGGAGCTCCCAAGCAAGGAGGAGAGACCCCAACAACCAAAGGACATGTGGAAAGCACCATCACCACAAGCATGTCAGGCCAGCACGAAGGAGGGGACAGCAGGGAGTGTCCCACCCTCTCCTCAGGCTGTCTCAGCTGAGGGACAGGGGCCAGGCCACCGGCACTGCCCTGGGAGCCGCCGCTCTACCGGGACCTCTCCATCAGCCTCAGGATGCTGCTGTAGAGGCGCCCAGGGGCGTCCAGGCCCCAGACAAAGTCCCAGTGGTTCCAGTCGGGGATGTGGGTGTAGGTGACGAGGTGGCTGATGCGGGGCAGCAGCTGCAGCACGTCCCTCCAGTCAGCTGCCCAGTCCTGCCCTCCCGACCACACCGCCGTGGGCACCGGCATCTCCTCCACGCGGTACAAGGGCGGTGTGTCCTGGGGGGACACGGGGGACTCTCAGGTGCTCAAGGAAGCCATTCTGTCCCTGCACCACCCTGGACAGACCCCCAGCATCTCCAGCTGCCAGCACAGCCAGGCAGCTCCTACCTGGTGGTACTTAGCTGGGTTCTCGCTGCCGTAGTCAAAGGCTTTGAATTCTCCAGATTTTATCACCTGGGAAGAGAGGATGGACCTGCTGTGAGAGGATGGATCTGCTGGGACAGGATGGACCTGCTGTGAGACAATGGATCTGCTTGGACAGGATGGACCTGCTGTGAGAGGATGGATCTGCTGGGACAGGATGGACCTGCTGTGAGACAATGGATCTGCTGGGACAGGATGGACCTGCTGTGAGACAATGGATCTGCTGGGACAGGATGGATCTGCTGGGACAGAATGGACCTGCTGTGAGACAATGGATCTGCTGGGACAGGATGGACTTGCTGTGGAAGGATGGATTTGCTTCTGTGTGAGTCTCACGTCTCCTGGCCCCTTTGAGGCACCCATCATGAGAGGGTGCTCAGAAGGGGTTTGTGTAAGTCCCTGCCCTCCATGTGCCCATCTCCAACCATGCTAGCTGGCTGGGGACAGGCAGGACAAGGAGAGATGTTGGTGTCCTCACCGGTGGGATATTGCAGGAGGAGATGGCATTCCACCTTTTTTAACAG